CCCCCCCCCACTCTCCGCCCCCGCAGACGGCCCGGCAGCCTCGCAGGGTCCGCGGGTCAGAGGGCGCCTCAGGTTCCGGCCCGGGAGGAGGGGGTCCCGGGTGGGGGCCTGGCGCACCCGACCCCGCCCCCCGCACGGCCTGCGGCCGCGCTTTCATCTCTGAGGCCCCCGGCCGGCCCCCACGTGGCTTAATCAGGCGCGGCTGTGCCTGGCGGACCCCGAACATCTGGATCCCGGCGCGGCCCCTCCCCCGCCCCGCCCCGCCTCTCCCCTCCCTTTGCCTCCCCTCCCCTCCGCTCCCAGGCTAGGCCGCTGCGACCCTAGGGCCTCCAGCCCGCAGTTTGCGCCAGAATCCAGCAGGGGAACTCCGGCTTCTAACCCACCCGCGCGCCAGCACCTTGGGAAACAGTCCTGTGCATTATGACCAATACTGCCCCCTATTTCACAGGTGGAAACGTAGGCTCCGAGACGCGTTGACAAAGACAGGATTCAAGCCCACACATGTTAATTCCAGAGGCCCGCCGCGCGCCTCACCCCTCCACAATTACTGTCCTTCATTCATAACAAAACACTTTTTCTTGCAACAACCGTAGAAGATAGGTACTGGCGGCGTTGCCCTTTTCTACGGATGAGGAAAATGAGGCTCAGACTGCAGAGTGGTTCTGTCCAGGTGACAGGGAGAGACGCAGAGAAAAGCCGGCAGGGTCCTGCCAATGATGGGAGGGGGGCCTTTGGGTATAAGAAGCATTTCTTAAAGCGCATCAGGGAGGAGGGACACCCCGCGCCCTTTTGCAGAAGGGGAAACTGAGGCTGCAGGAGTGGGTCGATCGCCCAGGTTGCCCGAGGGGAGAAGGGAAAAAGGCCGATTGCCTCCCACCCACCCCCCTTTCCGCTGCGCGAGGCCGCTGGGGGTGGGGGGTGAGCGGAAAGAGGACTTGACCCCGGCCCCCAAGGTGAGCCCCCGCGCCCCTCCTGCTGTTCCCGGGGGAGCCGGTCCAGGTGAGGGGCGGGCGGGCCGGCGGGCGGCCAGGGTCGGGTTTCAGGAAATCCGCCGACATTCCTTCGGGGCTTAAGAGGGAAAGTTGACTCGGCGCCGCCCTCGCCCCCCCCCCCACTTCCTACCCCCCGGGGCGGCCTGGCTGGGGGCGGCGCGCGGGGGGCGCTGAGGCCGGCCTGGGCGTGAATCAGCGGCAGACCAGGCGTCCGGGAAGCCACAGCGGCCGAGGTCAAAGCAGGCGTCGGACAAGCGCCCTTTGTCCCTTGCCGCCCTCATCACGACCCTGCTGACCCCCACCTCCAAGCAGGGTACAGGCTGGGGAGGAGGCAGGGCACCATGGCGCCGGTGGTGGTTGCTGAGGGTTGTTGGGGGAGGAAGGATGGATGTGACTGCCCCTCCTCCCCCAAGCAGCTGGTCCTCCTGGGACCCAGACTTCAGAGGCTCCTCAGGGTGCAGACAGGCAGGAAATCTGGCCTCCCTGGGGCAGGTCTGCAATCCCCAGTCCCGGTCTCCAGGGCCTGAAGTCCAGAGTACATTAAACTGAGGACCCAGGCATCCCTGCTCCCCAGGCTCAACCTCCAGGGCAGAAATTATAAAGCCTAGGGCACACCCAGGCCCCACTTTCCTGGGCCACAGACCTTGAACCAGACATCCAGAACCTCACTGTCCCTTAATTCCTGGAAGCACCCGCCTGGAACACCAGGCAGCTAATCCTATACTGGGGGCCCCTGAGCACCCGGCTCTCAGAATGGAAAAGGCAGCTCCGCCCTCCTCCCAGTGGCTGTGGGTCCCCACAGGACCCTGAAGGTCCCATTTCCACTGGCCCCTCCCTGGTGCACCCTCAGTGCCTTGGAATCCCAAGGAAGCTGGGGATGGAGGGCCCCTAACCTAATACGTCTCCTCCAGAGGTGACCTTTGAGTGGAGGGTACAGAACTCAGGATGGGTCCCTCCCCCAGCCCAAGGAAAGGCCCTCCCTCCATCTACCCTTTAGACATTCCCAGCCAACTTCAAGAACTTGGGTCAATATTTGCCAGAAGTTCCATTGAGGAGAGCTCCCTTTTGTCCTCAAGGAGATGATGGAACTGGGGAGGAAGGGGTTAAACTGCTGGGGCCCCTGAGGGCTGGGAAAGTTGCATCTTGGAGTCAACTCCCCTTCCCTTAAGTCAAAGGTGTGGGGTAAAGTTCACCCAAGGGCAGAGGTCACACTCCAGGATGGGGCTGGGCAGGACTGGAAAGGGTCCTTCCCCTTCTATCGGTAAGGAACAGAGAGGGAAGTCTACCAGCTAGGGTTACACAGCCAGACAGAGCGCGCGCGCCAGCCTGGGACCCGGGCAGCATGACTTGCTGGGACTGAGTTTTCTTGCTACTTAGAGGGACTGAGAATTCTCCATACTTTCATTTTGCAAATATTTAGTGAGTGCTTTGCCTTTAGCCCTTACTGGGTCCAGCATGGGGTCCAATGGGGCTACAGCTGCCCACAGTCTAAAGAAAATCTGCTGCACAATGAATGAAGTGTTTGGAAGAGTTGTATTTCAAAAACAATAAAACGACGTGAAGGAGAGTGAGACTGCTGGGGAAGGGTGGAGGGCCTCTCTGAGGAGGTGACACTGGACCTGTGACCTGGTGGAAGAGAAGGGGGCTAACTGGGGAAGATGTGGGGAACAGCATTCCAGCAGAAGGAACAGCCAATTCGCAGAGGCCCTTTGATAGTAACAAGCCTGGTATGTTTGGGGAAACAGGGCTCCAGTGGCTGGGGTGGAATGAGGGAGAGGAGGGGGAAGAGGAGAGGGAAAAAGAGGATTGGAGAGGATGGGGAGAGGGAGGCAGGGCAAAGATCTGCTTTTTCTTCTTTTAAAAGCTCCCTGTGCCTGATGTACAGAGAAAGGCAGAGAGTTATCAGGAAAGTCCCGGAGGAGGCCGGAAAGCATCCCTGGGGGAGACTGTGGGGTCTGGATCTGAATGGGTTGGGGAGAAGCGTCTGCATCTCAGAATGGGATGTGTTTTGGAATCAGAGCCAACAGGATTTGCTGATGAATTGGACATGAGGGATGAGGGAAGGAGAGAGTTGTCACGCGCGCTTCTAGGTCTCTGCCCTGAGCACCTGGATGGATAGGGGAGCCCTTTAAACGGAGGGGGAAAATATCAACATTTTGCTCCAGAAGCCTAAAGTCCTCCCAGGAGTGCGTAAGGGGTCTGTAGCCACAGAGAGAGCATCTGCAAACAGGGGCGGTGGGGGAGGAGTGTTGAGTATCCTAAAAACTCGATTCCAGCCAAGAACTGCCACCTCCACTTAACCCTCTGGGCCCCCTGGCAGGTGGGACAATGGCTCCATGTTTCAGAGGGGACAAGCAGGCCTGGGGGTCACCTCTGCTCCAGGAGATCCTGCAGTGCTGTGCTAAGGTTGTAGAGACTTCTGCTGCCTTGCGTCTTCCCACGGAAGCCCTCAGGCTGGGTGGTGCCCATTGGGCAGTGAAAGAAACTGAGGCACAAAAGGCCTGGTAAATGGCAGCGTCTCTCTTTGTCCCTCTTCTCCATCCAGAGTTCAGATGGGGCAGGGGCGTCCAGGTCCCCCATAGGCCCCCATCCCCCAATCTTGGTTTTTGACAGTCTGGAGTCTGAACTGGAGATTTAAGTAGGAGAGGGTGGGGCTTCCTCTTGGGCAGACAAGTGGGTGCTCCTGAGCCCCCCTCAGTCACTTTTACCCCCTTGGCTGGTTGAGAACCTAGGGAGAGAATCCAGGCCTCTAAGGGACTCCTAAAAACGGGGACTTGGAGGCGTTCCCTTCCCTGGACGCTGCAGCTGGGGGCGGGGCTGCGACCCAAAGTGGGTAACTGCACCCCCTAACTCTCATTTCAGGCACCCCCATCCGCAGCAGCCTAGGAGGCCAGTAACTCTTTATTCCTGGGCACCCTCATCGGGTGGGGACCTGGAGGAGATAGATGAGGCGCCCGGGCCGGGAGGGGTCCCGAAACTCGAGCAATGGCCAAAAATAATAACACGGAGAAGGCTCTTTGCGCAAAAGAAGGAAGACAAACTATGCGTCGCTCCGGGCAGCCGGCGTTACCTGGAGTCGGCGGGCGGCGGCCGCCGGAGCGATTACTCACCGCGTGGCGCACCCCACCCGCGGGCCGCTGAGTGGATTTTTCCGTGGTGGGGTGTGAATAGGTCCCGCGGGGGGAGAACTTCTTACGCTCTCCTCCTGGGAATCCCTCCTACCGCGGTGGGATTCCCAGGAATCCCGCGCAGGCCTGGGTCCCCGCTCCCACAGGGGACAACATCTCCCAGTCTGCCCACGCTGGAGCTCTCGCCCCGAGCAACCTCAAACCCATCCCGCGCGTGAGGGGGACAGCGCAGCCGGGGCGAGGGCGAGGGACTCCGTGCCTTCCTGCTTTTTCTCCTTTCTTCCAGCAAAGCCCCGGGCCGAGGCAGGATGAGGTGGGAGGGCTGGGACCCGAGCGCCGAGGGCGTGGGGCTGGGGGTGACTTTTAGGCCCCTGGGAAGGCAGAGGGGCTGGAGCTGGGGGTAGGCGGGGCTCTGGGACCGCTCCGTGGGGGGGGGGGGCCAGAGCTGGGGTGGGGGCAGAGACAGAAGATTGGGCGGTGGAGGGGGGAAATGGAGGAGCGAGCAGGGTTGGGGACCGCAGGGGCCACTGAAGAGGCAGCGGGCTGAGAGGAGGGTGCAGGGAAGTGGGCAGGGTTATGGAAACGGGATTGGGGGTGCCGGGTCCCAGACTGGAGGTGGGAAGCCTGGAGCTCGCGGGGTTGGAGAGGGAGGTCCTGGGCCGGTGGGGGTTGATTAGGGGCTCTGGGCCGCGGGACAGGGCGCGCGCGGTTCCCGGTGGGGCGGAGGCCGGACGGGCGGGGCGCGCGGTGCCCGCGGGCGGGCGGGCGGCGGGGAGGCCGGTGCGGGGCCCACCGCCCCCCCGGGGCCGGGCCGGGCCGGAGGCGGGGCCGGGCGGGGCCAGCGGCGCATTAGCGCCTTGTCAATTCGGCTGCTCAGACTTGCTCCGGCCTCCGCGTCCGCGCCCAGCGACGTGCGGGCGGCCTGGCCCGCGCCCTCCCGCGCCCGGCCTGCGTCCCGCGCCCTGCCCCGCTGCCGCTGAGCCGCCGCCCGCCGCGCGCCCCCGGCAGCGCCGGCCCCATGCCCGCCGGCCGCCGGGGCCCCGCCGCCCAATCCGCGCGGCGGCCGCCGCCGTTGCTGCCCTTGCTGCTGCTCTGCGTCCTCGGGGCGCCGCGAGCCGGATCAGGAGCCCGTGAGTACCCAGCGCCCCATTCCTTCCCCCACGCCAGAGCAGAGGGCGGGCGCCCCGGGGGTAGCCGCGGGGGGAGGGGGCGCGGGCGCCACCTGGACGGCCCGGGAACAAAGGAAGGCGCCCCCAGCGCAGCCCTCGGGGCGCCCTTACCTGCGGGGCGCACGGCGTCGCAGTCTCCTGCCGGGAGAGTCCTGCTTCCGCGCCCGAGGCCATCTTACCTGGGCAGCTGGGCCGAGGGCGCCAAGCCAGGCCCCCAGGGGCTTGGGGATCACGGCCTGGGACCCTCTGCACGCTAGGACGTAGCGGGCGCACGAGTCTGCTTCGGCCGACTCTGAGCTGCGGGGACTGCGGGGCACCGCTCCCAGGCGGGGGCGCACGCGGTTGGCGCGCTGGGTGCGGGCCCCCAGCGGGGCTCCCCCCCCCGGTCGGAGGGATGAGCCCCACGGGGAGGGCGGGGCTGGAGGGGGGCCGCTCTGGCCTCCTGGCGCGCTTCCCGGTTCCCCGGGGACTTGCCTCTCCACGGGCCGGCGCCACCGCCCTCCCACTGCGGGACCCGGCGCACGGGGGTCCGCGGAGTCCCCGCCGCCGGCGGTGCTTAGAACCGTTTTCGGCCAGGCTGTGTCGGGCAGAGAGCCTCCAGCGAGAGGAATCTTTGTGAGGGAGTGGGTGAGAGGGAGAGAGAGAGCGGGAGCCAGTGAGTCCGGGCACCGGCGGGCCCAAACTTTGAGGTGGCCCACTGGGAACTCGCTGCCCGACGAGCCAAGACCCCCTCCCTGGAAGGACTTCTGGCCTCAGGCACTCTGGGGCCCCCCATCCAAGGAACACCCCCGCAAGGATACATCTCTATATCCAGACCCGCTCTGGGACACACCCAGAGACACAAAGAATCACACTGGCTTGTGGCCCGTCACCCTCGCCCTCAAACTCGCGCACACTGCATCCCAGATGTACATTCGCACACCATCGCGGACGCACACACATTCCATCCCTGACACACAATCACGGTCACACACTCATCCCACAGGGGAGGCGACCCAGGGGCACAGAGGCAGGCACGACTCGCCTCAGACGTGCATTCACTCCACGCACCCCATCCAGGCGCACGGGCCACCCTGGGGGTCTCTGGGCACACACTGCTCCCAGGCTCACTCACCCTCAGCTGGGCTATTTGCAGGCTGCCTGTAGGGCTCCTCCGGTTAGGGGCAGGGTCCCGGCATCCTCTGGGGGCACTTGCTGAGAATGCAGTGGCATCTCCCCTGCATCTGAGCAGGTGAGGGTCTACCTCGGACCTTCCCAGGGCCCCTGACAGCTCTACCAGGTGGTGGGCAGAGGCTGTGAGCGCCAAGCTTTGTTTTCCAGTCAGAGCAGCAGGCGAAGGTGTGGGGGTGGGGGGGTTGTTAAGTGTGTTTTTTCCTTTAAGGGGGAAGAAATTAAATAAAAGATTCTCACACCTCGGCAATATGTTTCTACTTACGGTGTGTCTTAGCACCTGACCAGCAGGCGGGTGGGTCGTAAAGTGTCTGCAGGTACCAGCGGGATGGGAGGTGGGGACCCCCGTGGGGACCCTGGGATGGAGGCCACCCTTCCGCCCTGGTTGCAGAGAATCTCACACTTTTCCCTTTTAAAACACATGGTGTTCCTTTTTAATAACCGCAGTGGCTCCAGATTGGGAAAAGAGGAGAGAGAAAACTTTTAAAGGCCCCAGCTCTTCAGGAAAGGAGGGGAGGCAGGGAGTGAAAACGGGGCTGTTGAAAAGCCCAACCTAGGGATCTGCTTTGGGGAGCCCTCTAGGAGGCCCTCCAAACCAAGCCAAGTCCCCCCCAACTCAGGCTCAGTGGGCTGTTCCCAGCTGCTCCCCCGCCTGGCCTGGAATGTGTGCATCCCTGTCCCCAGCGCCTTACCCCATTGTTTTCAGAGGCCGGGAGGGAGTGCCAAGCCACCCGGGACCCCAGAGCTGGGAGGGCCTGTCATCTTTACAGTTCCGGGGACTGCAGGCTTCTGAGCTCTCTGGACATTGGATTCCAATCACAGCTCATTGATCTCCCCAGCAAGTAGAATGTATTTCTCCTCCCGTTTTATGGAAGAGAAAAGTGAGAGCTGGAGAGGGGAAGTCGATTGCCCAGGTTCTCCCACTGGGGTTTCGAACGGGAGGAGAAAGCGTCCTTCTGACCTTGCCTGCTAGGGCTAAGCGGGTGGGAGACTGGCCTGCCCAGGCCCGTCTGGCCTTGCCCTGCCCCCGCCACCCGTGGCCTCCCGGTGTCCCCCGCCCAGCCCCAGGAGGGCAGCTGCAGCTGCTGGCAAGTGAGCCACGCCAGTCCAGGCCAGGCAGGCGTGGCAGAGGGGCAGTGCCCCCTAGCCAGGACCCCCCAGAAAGCCCCTTCCTGGCCAGGCCACGGTGGTGGGTGCGGGGAGCAGGAGGGGCATGACCCACTCTAGGAGGGCTGAGAGGGGCCTGGGGTCCGGGCAGGCCTGGCCGTGCCTCCCACTCTGCTGGGGGGGGCCCAGGCAGGAAGCGGTGGGTGGGCCAGGGCAGAGACGCTGGCACGCCCGAGTTCATGCAGAAGGAATTCCGAATTAGCGGGCGGCTGGCTGCCTGGGACCTCCAGGGCGGCCCCCTGGCCCCCGCCCCCCTCAGCCGCCCCCGCCTCCTCGGCTCTGGCCCGCTCAGCCGGCTCCTTCGCACGGACGCGAAGACCTCCGGCGAGCCCTGGGCCAAGCCCCAAGCGCAACTGCGATTCCAGGCTCCAGCAAGACAGCCCTCGAGCCAAGTTTGCCCCGGAAAATCATCAGGGCCGGCCCAAGAACCGTGTCCACCCCACCTCGCCCATCGGGGGCAGTGAGGGCAAGTGCAGGGCAGCCGCTGGCATTCAGACGACCTCCCGGGGGGCCGGGATCACCCTGTCCTTGGCTGCCATCTCTGCGAGATGGGCTGCCCCTACCTCCTGCAGTCCTTTCTCCCAGCCGCCTGGGGAGTCCTTTTGAATGCAAATCTCACCGCGTCCGTTCCTCCCCTGCTCAGAACCCTGGAATCCCTCCTCCTGCAGGTCAGGGTCTCTGACCTCTCAAGCCTCATTTCCCACTGCTCCTGCCCCAGGACCTTGGCACTTGCCTGGACACACTGTTAGATAATGTCACAGCTACTGCCCCTACTTTATTCCCGTGTCTACTCAAAGGTCACTTCCCCAGACAGGCCTTTGGAGCTTCTGCCACTGCTCTTTTTCTGGCTTCTCTCCTATTTATTGTCTTCGATATTTATTCGTTCCTTTTTCCTGCTGCTTCCTTGGATTTGATGCCCACAATGGCAGGACGTTAGTCCTCGGTCTTTGGTCATCAGCCCGGTGCCCATAGATATTGACACTTTATAGATACCTGTGAATGAACAGATGAATCAGATGAGTCAGTGAACAAGGGTGGATGATCTTTGTAACCACTCTGAGTAGAACGAGAGGCCCCTTTCCAGAGACTCAGAGAAGTAAAATACTGAGGCCGGTGCCGTGGCTTATGCCTGTCATCCCAGCACTTTGAGAGGCGGAGGCAGGTGGATCACTGGAGGTCAGCAGTTCGAGACCAGTCTGGGCAACATGGTGAAACCCCCATCTCTACTAAAAATACAAAAATTAGCCACGGAGGTTATAGTGAACTGAGATTGTGCCACTGCAGTCCAGCCTGGGTGACAGAGTCTCAAAATAAAACACTGAGACTTTCACAGTGAGCTAGGGACATTTGAATCTGGGTCAACTTGGTTTAAAGATCTCATGGGAAAATATTGTCTCCAACAGTATTTCCTCTCAAACGACCCCATGAGGTTTGTTTTGTTGCTTTTTATAAATTTAAATTGATTTTTTTTTTCTTTTCTGAGACAGGGTCTCACCGTCACCCAGGCAGGACGGCAGTGTGCAATCATGCCTCACTGCAGCCTCAACTCCAGAGGCTCCAGCGATCCTCCTGCCTCAACCTCCCAAGTAGCTGAGACCACAGGCACCTGCCACCACCCTCCCCCCACCCACAGTCTGCCTAATTTTTGTGTTTTTGGTAGAGACAGCGTTTCACCATGTTGCCCAGGATGGTCTCAAACTTCTGACCTCATATGATCCTCCTGCCCCAGCCTCCCAAAGTGCTGGGATTACAGGCATGAGCCACCACACCCAGCCAACCCCATGATATTGATGACATGATGCCCACTTCCCAGATAGGGAAACGGACTCAGAGAAGCATCTGAAGCTTGGCCTGGGCACCCCCGCCTCCTCTGGGCCTTGGTTTCCCCATGAACAAAACACATTCCTCTTAGGTTCTGGTCTCAAGAAGGCGAGCTCCTGAGCTGCCCTGATGGCCAGCAGAAGAGGAGGCATCGACCACCTGTGGGCGTCCCCAGGGCTCCTGTGCCCAGCACCTGACACCACACCACCTAGTTCATCAAGTCCCCTTCCCCTCTCACTTTCACAGTTGCCCAGGAGACAAAAGAGCTTTCTCATTCCCACTTTGCAGATGAAGAAAACTGCGCTGAGGGAAAGAACGGTGATGTCTAGTCCTTTTGGATAGGAGTTGGGGACATGCAGTTTCCCAGGGCTGCCTTTAGTTCCGGAGGTAGGCAGTGTGGAGCAGAACACTGTAGACCAGAAAATCTGGGCGTAACTAGGATGGCCTTCCCTCATTGCGGCAAGGGAACTCCATCTTTCAGAGCCAACTTTTTTTTTTTTTTTTTTTTTTTTTGAGACGGAATTTCGCTCTTGTTACCCACGCTGGAGTGCAATGGTGCAATCTCGGCTCACCGAAACCTCCGCCTCCTGGGTTCAGGCAATTCTCCTGCTTCAGCCTCCTGAGTAGCTGGGATTATAGGCATGCGCCAGCACGCCCAGCTAATTTTTTGTATTTTTAGTAGAGACGGGGTTGCACCATGTTGACCAGGATGGTCTCGATCTCTTGACCTCGTGATCCACCCGCCTCAGCAGAGCCAATTTTTTTTATCCTTAGCATGAGAAGGATTGGCTGAGAAAATGAAGGTAAAGTCTTAGCACAGTATTCAGAACACAAGTGCTCAATAAACTGTGCCTGTAGGCTGGGTGCGGTGGCCCACGCCAGTCATCCACGCCAGTCATTGGGAGGCTGAGGCAGGAGTTCAAGACTCACATTCAGGAGTTCAAGACCCATCCAACCAACATGGTGAAGCCTCGTCTCTACTAAAAATACAAAAATTAGCCAGGCGTGGTGGTGTGCACCTGCAATCCCAGCTACTCAGGAGGCTGAGGCAGGAGAATCCCTTGAATCCAGGAGGCAGAGGTTGCGGTGAGCCAAGATCGCACCATTGCATTCCAGCCTGGGTGACAGAGGGAGACTGCTCAAAAAATAATGGAATTAACGAAATTAAAATGTATAAAAAGGTGCTCTTAATCATTCAAGTAAGGATCAGGGCTTTCATTTTAAGCAATGCCCTCCCCCAACAGAAACACCTACTATGTGTGAAGCTCTGGGAGTATCACAGGAAGACCCCACAGTCGTTTTCTAATTGCCAAAAAAGAAAAACGAAATGAGAATGAAGAATAAAGAAGGCTAGGCACAGTGGCTCATTCCTGTGATCCTAGCACTTTGGGAAGCCAAGGTGGGAGGATCGCTTGAGCTTGAGGCCAGGAGTTCAAGACCAGACCAGCCTGAGCAACCTAGTGAGACCTCATCTCTAAATAAATATTTAAAAACCACCACATTCGGTGGTGCGTGCCTGTAGTCCCAGCTACTCAGGAGCTGAGATAAGGGAGGATCACTTGAGCCCAGGAGATTGGGGCTGCAATGAGCTATGATCGTGCCACTGCACTCCAGCCTGATCAACAGTGAGACCCTATTGCTAAGAAAATAAAAGTCGAAGCCTGGCTGGGCGCATTGGCTCACTCCTGTATTCCCAACACTTTGGGAGGCCGAGGCCGGTGGATCGCTTGAGGTCAGTTCAAGATCACCCTGCCCAACATGGTGAAACCCCATCTCTACTAAAATTACAAAAATTCCCCAGGCGCAGTGGCAGGCACCTGTAATCCTAGCTACTCGGAAGGCGGAGGTTGCAGTGAGCTGAGATGATACCATTGCACTCCAGCCAGGGTGACAGACTGAGACTCTGCCTCAAAAAAAAAAAAAAAAAGCCTCGGCACAGTGGTTCATGCCTGTAATCCCAGCACTTCTGGAGGCCAAGGCTGGTGGATCATGAGGTCAGGAGTTCAAGACTAGCCTGGCCAACATGGTGAAACCCTATCTCTACTAAAACTACCAAAATTGGCTGGGCATGGTGGCAGGCACCTGTGATCCCGGCTGCTCGGGAGGTTGAGGCAAGAGAATTGTGAACCCAGGTGGCAAAGGTTGCAGTGAGCCAAGATCTCGCCACTGCACTCCGATGTGCAAAGCAAGAGTCACTGGATCCGAATGAGCTTTATGCCTGAGATGTGTGACCCCTCAGAACCTTGAGCACCTCAGTGATGAAGTTTTGGAAGGATCTATTGTTGGCGTCAGACAGACCTGGACAACTCCAGCTTTGTCAGTTTGGCCGCCCGTGTTGGCCTGGACATTTAACCCAACCAATCCTCAGCTTTTCTATCTGTAAAATGGGGGACTGTCATTAACAGCGGCTTCTCAGGACCACCATGCACCCTGGAGGTCCTGGCATGGTCCGGGGCTCAGAGGGTCCCTGCCCCGGCCTGACACGTGCTCCTCTTTGACCCCAGACACAGCAGTGATCAGCCCCCAGGATCCCACGCTTCTCATCGGCTCCTCCCTGCAGGCCACCTGTTCAGTGCACGGAGACCCACCGGGAGCCACCGCTGAGGGCCTCTACTGGACCCTCAACGGGCGCCGCCTGCCCCCTGAGCTCTCCCGGGTGCTCAACACCTCCACCCTGGCCCTGGCCCTGGCCAACCTCAACGGGTCCAGGCAGCAGTCAGGGGACAACCTCGTGTGCCACGCCCGAGACGGCAGCATCCTGGCTGGCTCCTGCCTCTATGTTGGCCGTAAGTGGGCACCCAGGACCCCCCAGGGGTAGCTCTTGGGAGCGGCATCTCCCTCTGGAGAGAGGCATGAATCGTGGGCCTTCTGACCTGGGGCTAAGCAGTGGGTAACTGGCATGGCTATGCAGGTCTAGGTGGGAATGAGAACCTGGAGACCCAGTCAGGCTCAGTGTGGCTCAGGCTTGTAATCCAGCCCTTTGGGAGGCCAAGGTAGGTGGATGATTTGAGGTCTGGAGTTTGAGACCAGCCTGGCCAACATGGCAGAAACTCTGTCTCTACTAAAATTACAAAAATTAGACAGGCATGCTGATAGGTGCCTATAATCCCAGTTACTCCGGAGGCTGAGGCAGGAGAATTGCTTGAACCCAGGAGGTGGAGGTTGCAGTGAGCTGAGATTGTGCCACTGCACTCCAGCCTGGGCAACAGTGGGAGACTTTGCCTAGAAAAAAATAAAAGAACTGGAGACCGCGTCACCAGCTTCTCCATTGCCCATGCAGGTGTCACCAACCATGCTGGCATCTCTCAGCACGGGGCTGAGACGGTCCTATCTGCCCTTCTTCCACTCCAAGGTGGGGCCCTGGCGGGCGGGTAGCAACCCCTCGGCCCAGGCTTAGCTGGTCCAGACCCTCAACCTGCTTCCTGCACCCTCCCCCTCTCCTAGTGCCCCCAGAGAAACCCTTCAACATCAGCTGCTGGTCCAAGAACATGAAGGACTTGACCTGCCGCTGGACACCAGGGGCCCACGGGGAGACCTTCCTCCACACCAACTACTCCCTCAAGTACAAACTTAGGTTGGTGGTGGCCCGAGGGCCATGTGTGTGTCCCAGGCTGGCTGCATGACCTTGATGAACGCGGACCCTCTCTGAGCCCTCATGTACTGTCTGCACCCCAAGGCTGCCATGGTGAGATCTGGGGGCCAGAAGGAACCCTCATTCGTCCTGTCCCCCTCCCATCCCCGCAGGTGGTACGGGCAGGACAACACGTGTGAGGAGTACCACACAGTGGGCCCTCACTCCTGCCACATCCCCAAGGACCTGGCTCTCTTTACACCCTATGAGATCTGGGTGGAGGCCACCAACCGCCTGGGCTCGGCACGCTCCGATGTGCTCACGCTGGATATTCTGGACGTGGGTGAGCCCCCAGTGTCCACCAGTCCCTTCCCTCAGCACCAGCCTGGCCCACCAGGCATCCGGAGGGGTCCCTTGCACCTTCTCATTTCTCCTGGGGTCCTGCCTGCCCCTCCAGCCATGACGGCAACTCCCAGGCTGTCCCTGCTGGTCGGAGGGGAGGTAGGTAAGTAGCTGAGCATCCAGCCAGGATACCCCCACTCCTCGGAAAACACCTGGCCTGGCCACCTCCCGCTCGGCAGCCCAGGTGTGCTGGAGGGGGCCCTGGGGAGAGGGGAGGGGGCGCCCAGGTCGGGAGGCGCCCCAGGAAGCCGAGGCCTGGAGCTGGGGGGTGCAGGGCGGGAGGCAGGAAATGGATGATCTGTGAGCAGAATTGAGCCTAATCTAATTAGGGTGTTTCTCAGCCCCAAGCAGGCCTGCGCCTTAACCCTTTCAGCCCCTCACCAAGGCCTCAGGGAGAGGTGGGCTCACCCTGCTGCCCTCAGGGGCCCCCAGAAGGATCCTCAGCACCCTCAACACACACATACCCCCGGGGTTGTAGCTTCCATCCCTGCCCCCACCAGCCTGCTTCACTCTTCCCCACATCCTAAAGCTACAGGGCGAAGGTTCTAAGCCTCGGTTGCTTCTCTGCACCCAGCAAAATCACATCAAAGATTCTGGTGAAAGTGGAATGGAGGTGGAAGTGGGGAGGGAGTGGCAGGGGGTTCCCAGAAGGGAACCTAAGCATGATAGTAACAATATCATCAGCCTGCCATGTCCACTTTCCCATAGTGAGTTGAAGATCGGATTGTTTCTCCCGTCACAGATAATAATGGTGATAACAGCTAACGTTAATTAGGTGCTGAGTGTTTCTCCAATATTATTTATCGTGTAATCCTCCAGTCCTGGGGCTGGGGGCAGAGGGAGGAGGAGGAAAACAGGCAGGTGCCACCTAGGCCACGTGGCCTGGGCCACTCTCTTGGGGGGAGTTCAACCCAAACAGTCCCGGCTGAGGGGGGCCTGAGAGCGATTACCCGCATCACAGTGACCAGGCCCTGCTCCGCCCCGCAGTGACCACGGACCCCCCGCCGGACGTGCACGTGAGCCGCGTCGGGGGCCTGGAGGACCAGCTGAGCGTGCGCTGGGTGTCGCCACCCGCCCTCAAGGATTTCCTCTTTCAAGCCAAATACCAGATCCGCTACCGAGTGGAGGACAGTGTGGACTGGAAGGTGCCCCGCCCCTTCTCTGGCTCCGCCCCCGCTCCTGCCGGGCCCCGCCCCCTGCTCTGACCCTGTTCTCACTGTTCAGGTGGTGGACGATGTGAGCAACCAGACCTCCTGCCGCCTGGCCGGCCTGAAGCCCGGCACCGTGTACTTCGTGCAAGTGCGCTGCAACCCCTTTGGCATCTACGGCTCCAAGAAAGCGGGGATCTGGAGTGAGTGGAGCCACCCCACAGCCGCCTCCACCCCCCGCAGTGGTGAGCACCACCCCCCAGGGCTGGGTGATTCAGGGGCCAGGCCCAAACCAGCTAGAGCCTCTGTTTCCTTCTTTTCTTTTTTTCCTTTGAGGCGCAGTCTCGTTCTGTCACGCGGTGGCGTGATCTCCACTCACTGCAACCTCCGCGTTCCGGGTTCAAGCGACCCTCCTGCGTCAGCCTCCCGAGTAGCTGGGACTACAGGCACGCGCCACCATGTATAGCTAATTTTTGTTTCTTTTTTTTTTTTTTTCTCTCGAGATGGAATTTTGCTCTTGTTACCCAGGCTGGAGTGCAATGGCGCAATCTCGGCTCACCGCAACCTCCGCCTCCTGAGTTCAGGCGATTCTCCTACCTCAGCCTCCTGAGTAGCTGGGATTACAGGCACGCGCCATCATGCCCAGCTAATTTTTTGTATTTTTAGTAGAGACGGGGTTTCACCAAGTTGACCAGGATGGTCTCAATCTCTTGACCTCATGATCCATCCACCTCGGCCTCCCAAAGTGCTGAGATTACAGGTGTGAGCACCGCACCCAGCCTAATTTTTGTATTTCTTCTTAGTGATGGGGTTTCACCATGTTGGCTAGGCTGGTCTCCAGCTGCCGACCTCAGGTGAACCACCCACCTCTGCCTCCCAAAGTGCTGGGATTATAGACGTGAGCCACTGTGCCTGGCCGTGTTTGTTCTTGTTGAGACAGAGTCTTACTTTGGCCCAGGCTGGAGTGCAATGGTGTGATCTCGGCAACCTCCACCTCTCGGGTTCAAGCGATTCTCCTCCCTCAGTCTCCTGAGTAGCTGGGACTACAGGCACGCACCACCATGCACAGCTAATTTTTGTATTTTTTAGTACAGACAGGGTTTCACCATGTTGGCCGGGCTGGTCTTGAACTCCTGACCTCAGGTTATCTGCCCCTTTCGGCCTCCCAAAGTGCTGGAATTGCAGGTGTGAGCCATAGCGCTCAACGGGTTTCCTGGTTGTCTCCAAGAGAGTAGAGGTCTCAAACTGGTGACTCCCCAACCCCCCAAGGCTGAATGTGGCCTTCGATCTATTTCTTTTGCTCTGTTATTTGGAAAACAACAACAACAACAACAACAAACCTTTGACCTACTTGTAGAAATTCAAAAACAGGAAGTTTTTACATAAAAATATCCTAGATTCCCTAGAAAAATAAATTCTCTAGAAAATGTAACAGCATGACCCACAGCCCCACCAGCAGCCGCCATCCCTTCTTGGGACTCTCTCTCCATTTGCCCATCCACACCTGGCCTGTTCTGCCCATTTAGACTCCCTCCTAAGAGAGCCAGCGAGTCGGAGACCCCTGCTTCTAAGGGCAATGGGCTGCCAACTCACTTTGATGGGCCTCAGTTTCCCCTTCTGATCAAAGCAGGGGGATGGGAATGATTAGGTGCCTGAGTCTGCCTCCTCTTGCTGTCTTGGGTTTTCTCTGGGTCCACAGACCTCTAGTCTCCCTTTTGTGAAATGAAACGAAAGCTGTTACTTGGAATGTCTGGCCTCTGTTTCCCCATCTGGAAAGTGGGGACGAGAATCTCACTTGCCTTGGGCTGTTGTGAGGCTTGGATGACATAATTTGTGGCAAGTGCCCACATGGTGGGTGGCACCCAAGTGCCTGCAGGCAGCAGGCGTGGAGTTACTCATTGTCGGGTCCCCGACACCCCAGGGTTTCTCTGCAAGGGAGACAGCTTTTTCTCAGGTGAGGACACGGAGGCTTCAGGAGGTCACATGGGTCTGAACTCAGTTCACAGAAAGCCCAAGCTCACCCTGGCTCGTGAGATGATAGGGAAACTGAGGCCCAGAGAGGGTCCCAGAGCTAGGGAGGGGTAGAGTCAGGCTCCAGCCAGCTCCGCAGCCCCTATCCCGGGCCCCTCCAGGTTTGGGGGTGGGCGGGAGCAAGCTCAGCCGGGAGGGGCCTGAGCCTTGGCCCCTGCTCGTGCCCGGCACCTGCGATTCTTGCACAGTTGCCAGCAGGCCGCTGCAACCGCAGGGGAGGCCAGGGAGGCCGGGGAGGCTAGCAGGGGCGGCGGGGGCCGCGGCCGTGCCAGGGCCTGTCAGCGGGTCCCCGGCTTTATTTATGACGTGAGGCCGATGTCCTTATCTGCCGGCCTGCTGGGGGCTGGCTGCAGCCGGCAGCTGGACCGACAGGCCGGCCTCCCACCTGGCCCTCCCGGCCCACTCCTTGTCCCATGGGCCTATGATGGGGACTGTGCCAGGGGGTCATCTTGCACTCTGTCTCTCTTCATCTATCACTCTTCCCCTGTGCCTCTGTCTTGATCTCTTTGTCCCTGTGTCCCCATGGTTTCTGCCCTACCCCGATCAGGCCCTTCCCTCCTACGTTGACCCCCTTGGCTTTCACGCACCCTGCGCCTTCATCTCTCATCCCTGGCCCCGGCTCTCTCTCTCATCAGTGCCTCTTTATCTCTCTCTCTTTTTCAGCCCCCTGCTCTGTTTGTCTGTCTCTGCGTCTCATCCTCCCGGTCCTGGCCTCTCTCCTCCCCTCCCCCCACTCCACTCGCACCTGGCTCAGGCCACAGGAATCGGGTTCCTGGAGGAGATGTGGAGGAGGAGCCCCTTCCTTCCCCCGCCCCCCCCCACCTCCCCAGGGGCGCAGCCGGGCCAGGGGCGCAGCTGGGCTGCTGTTCAGGGCCGCAGGGAGGACCCGGTCCCTGAGAAACAGGGAGGGAGGTTCCCCGAGGGGAACACGGTCCTGCCGCGCCGGGGGTCTTCCCTCTCCTGCCCGCGCGCGTCCCCTGCCGGGCGCGCCCTGACACTGCCGCTCCGCCCACCACCAGAGCGCCCGGGCCCGGGCGGCGGGGCGTGCGAGCCGCGGGGCGGAGAGCCGAGCTCGGGGCCGGTGCGGCGCGAGCTCAAGCAGTTCCTGGGCTGGCTCAAGAAGCACGCGTACTGCTCCAACCTCAGCTTCCGCCTCTACGACCAGTGGCGAGCCTGGATGCAGAAGTCGCACAAGACCCGCAACCAGGTAGGAAGGAGGGACCCGCGGGCGTGGGGGTGGGGACGGGGACGGGGAGCTGGGGGGCGCAGGCAACAGGGGAGGGAGAAGAAGCAGGCTGTGAACGCAGGTCTACAGCCCCCACGACACCTCTGCCTTCCTTCCAAGCACAGGACGAGGGGATCCTGCCCTCGAGCAGACGGGGCACGGCGAGAGGTAAGGTGGGTCCGAATGGGTGGGCGGGAGGGAGAAAGGGCGGGCCCCTTTTGGTGGCTGCAGGTCTTGCTCACACCCTCACATCCGCCAACCCCACCTGAGTTGCTGAGATGGAATGCGTTCTCTTCCTTTATTCATCGGCATTTACGTAGCACTTACTATATTACTGGCATTGTTGCCTTTAGTCTAAGAACATTCAATGCCCTGAATGTTCTTAGGCTAAAGGCTAATGTCCGTAGGGGAATCTCCTCTGAAATGAATGAACATACCCACCCTAGTTAGCAGCATGGGCGCCTACTGCATCCTGGCCCCGTGCCAAGTGCTTTACCTGCAAACCATGGGATGCTCAGATAGTCTGCCTTCGCAGATGGGGAAGCCAAGGTTCAGAGAGGAGCAAAACCCTGCCCAAAGTCACACAGCCAAGAGCGGTGGGGACAGGACCCGAATGGGGGCTTCTTCAGTGGCTCTGTGGTGAGGGCCTCTCCCCAGCTCCCTGCTTAGCTCCCCTTCCCCTCTGCCTACAGGTCCTGCCAGATAAGCTCTAGGGGCTCAGGCCACCCTCCTTGCCACCAGAGATGCGGAGGCCAAACCCAAACTGGGGCCACCTCTATACCCTCACTTCAGAGCACCTGAGCCCCCTCAGCAGGAGCTGGGGTGAGCACTGAGCTCCAACGGCCTTAAAACTCTGACTCCCACATGAGGCCACCTTCAGGTGCACCCCAGTGGGGGCGTGTGTGTGTGAGGGTTGGCTGAGTCGCCTAGAACCCCTGCCAGGGCTGGGGTGAGAAGGGGAGTCATTACGTCCCCCTACCCAGGGCCCCTCCGAAAGAGTCCTTTTAAATAAATGAGCTATTTAGGTGCTGTGACTGTGAAGGTGTTTGGGGCCTGCCTGGCCTGGGCTGGGGGCTATGAGATTTAAGGTCTAATTTTGAACCCTTGGAAAATGTGATTCAAAATACCTTACTTGGCTGCATACGAAGGCTCACCTGTAATCCCAGAACTTGGGGAGCTCCCAAGCTGGGAGCCTCACTCGAGGCCACGAGTTGGAGACCAGCATAGGCAACAAAGGGAGACCTCATCTATACTAAAAAAACATTAACTGGGCTCATGGTGGCATGTGCCTGTAGTACCAGCTACTTGGGAGGCTGAGGCAGGACTGCTTGAGCACGTGGAAGTGGAGGCTGCGGTGAGCCATGATGTTGCTAACGCACTCCAGTCTGGGTGACAGAGCAGCGAGACCCTATTTCAAGCCAAAAAGCCTGAGCTTCTGGGGAGGGTAAGAGTCTTTCACCCACAATCCCTGGCCTTGTGAGGGCCCCTCTCCAGGCACACTGGCTGCAGTGCCCCAGGACACAGATGGCAGACTGGTTGAAGAGGAAGAGCTCTTTATTGTGGGAGGTGTCTCAAATGCAGAAGGTCAGCAGCGCAGTGGGGCACGACCCCAGCCAGCTGGCAGTCAGGGCTGGGCTGGGGGCCATCCGTTCCGTTTCCCATCTCCTCCGTCCCTGGGGAGCCACCATCACTCGGCAGATTCCGCATCAAACCTGAGATCCTGGAGAACCTCGCTGATCGCCTCCATGGTTTTAATTACCCTACAAGAGCGGATGGGAACTATAAATAAAACCCAGATGGGGCGAATTAGCTGCTGCCTCGAAACTGCAAGAGGGCTGTGGCTGTGGTGAGCCCCGGGCCCTCCTGCCCGCCGCCAAACCTCCAGGCAGCACTAGCCGCAGGAGGGACCACGTAGGTGCTTGGGAGAAGGGGTGGTCCCATTAGGTCAGAGTGGGCTGAGAGGAAAGGCCATCTTGGCTGGGTGCAGTGGCTCATGCCCGTAATCCCAGCACTTTAGGAAGCCAAGGCAGACAGATCACTGATGTCGGGAGTTCGAACCAGCCTGGCCAAGATGGCGAAACCCTGTCTACTAAAAATACAAGAATTAGGTGGGCATGGTGGCAGGTATCTGTCATCCAACTTACTTGGGAGGCTGAAGCAGGAGAATCGCTTAAACCGGGGATGGGAGGTGGAGGATGCAGTGAGCCGAGATCACACTGGTGCACTCCAGCCTGAGCAACAGTGAGACTCCGTCGCCCCAAAAAAAAAAAAAAAAAAAAAAAGAAAGGCCCGGCTTGGTGCTTACGCCTGTAATCCCAGCACTTTGGGAGACCGAAGCGGGCAGATCACAAGGTCAGGAGTTTGAGAGCAGCCTGGCCAACATGGTAAAACCCCATCTCTGCTAAAAATACAAAAATTAGCCAGGTGTGGTGGAACTAGCCTGTAATTCCAAGCTACTCAGGAGGCCGAGGCAGGAGAATTGCTTGAACCTGAGAAGTAGAGGTGGAGGTTGCAGTGAGCCGAGATCATGCCACTGCACTCCAGCCTGGGCAACAGAGCGAGACCCAGTCTCAAAAAAGAAGAAAAGGCCATCTTGGTGGGGTGTGTACCATCAGGAAGTCATGAAGCATGACTCTGAAATGTGTGTGTGCGTGTGTGTCCTTGGGGGTGAAGGCGTGTGCCTGGTGGGGCATGGGCAACAATGTCCAAGCTCCAGCTGACAGCCACGTGTGCAGGATTGGCATGTGTCGAGGTATACAGCAGTGTCCCGGCAATGCACAGCAAAGCTGATGTGAAATTTCACAGCTGTGCTCTCTGGGGAATGTGTACATCTGGGGGACACCAGATGAGAACACCACTGTGCATAGGCAGAGGGTCCCTCTGCTGGCAGGGTCGGAGCACGTGCCAGGCATAAGCATAGCCAGGCGGCCTAGGCAGCGGCGCTCACTTCATTTCCAGCTGGTGCATCTGTACCGCATCCTTCTGCTCCACCACCTCAGGTGTCTCCATCAGCTGCAGCAGGGCCACCTGGTGGGGGAATGGGCAACTTGAAGGATGACTCCACTAACAGAAGCCACCCCCTGCCCTCCCATGCTGTTCAGGAAGACAGAGGCACCCAGAAAGGCAGTGCCTGGGTAGAGCCACGACGGGTGGTGCTTTGTGTAGGAAAAATCAAATTCAGTTTACAGGGGCTCTGCAGAAGGGAGAGAGTGGGCAGGCCAGAGGCAGTGCAGAGCGGGCATGTGGGTGTGGCCTGGGAACAGTAGTGACATTTCCATTGGTGGTAGGGGTAGGTTAGGCTGGGCCTCATTGTCCCAGGGATGGGACAGGGTGTTATTAGCATAATCCCGGGATAAAAGTAGGCCAAACAGGCTAGAAGCAGTGGCTCATGCCTGAAACCCTAGCACATGGGAAACCGAGGAGGGCGGATCACTTAAGACCATGAGTTCGAGACCAGCCTAGCTCATATGGCAAAACGCCGTCTCTACTTAAAAAAATACAAAAATAGGCCGGGCGAGGTGGTTTATGCCTGTAATCCCAGCACTTTGGGAGGCCGAGGTGGGCGGATCATGAGGTCAGGAATTCGAGACCATCCTGAACAACATGATGAAACCCCGTCTCTACTAATTTTTGTAATTAGCCAGATGTGGTTGTGTGTGCCTGTAATCCCAGCTACTCAGGAGGCTAAGGCAGGAGAAGCACTTGAACCTGGGAGGCAGAGGTTGCAGTGAGCCTAGATCGCACTACTGCACTTCAGCCTGGGTGACAGAGCAAGACTCCGTCTCAAAAAAAAATTAGCCGGGAGTGGCATCACACAGCTGTAGTCCCAGCCACTCAGGAAGCTGAGGCGGGAGAATCGCTTGAACCTGGGAGGTGGAGGTTGCACTGAGCCGAAATCAAGCCATTGCTCTCTAGCCTGGGCAAAAGACCGAGACCCTGTCTCAAAAATAAAAGAGAAAAAGAAAAAGGCTGAGACGGGTTGCTGGCGGGGGGGGGGGGGGGGGGGGGGGGCATGGCCTGGGAATTCCAGTGTAGAGCTTGATGTGGGCGTGGTTTTGCGTAGATATGATGCCCGCCACCACATACACCGGGTTGCGAGGCTAAGTAGTCGGAGCCAAAGAGCGAAATAGGCCAAGAACTAAAGCCGTGATGGAGGGATAATACGGAGGAGGTGTGGGCTGGGAACCCTCTCCCCGGTATCTAAGGGACTTTGAGGGCAGGACCCGAGACTCAGAACAACCAGAGTGGGTGGAGTATTGTTGGGGCGGGATCTGGGCATCTTGGAATAGCATTTAGGCGGGGCTGGGAGAAAGTGGGAGTACTCTGGGAATAAGGAGGAAACTTGTAAAAAAAAATTGGGGATAAACAGCAGAGGGCAAGGTCCGAGAATCCCCAAAGTGAAGCCCTTAATAGAAGACTGAGGTGGGACAGGAAGGGGTGAGGTCTCCGTATGGGATACTGGGACCAACCCCAATTTCCCAGATAGGGGTGCGCCATAGGCGGAATCAGCCAGGATCCTAGAGCCACGGTCGGGAAGGGGTGGTGGTCTCACCGTGCCCAGCCGAGTCTGCTCCAACTGCTGTAGGCTGCGCACGTGGCTGGCGAGCAGCGGCTGCCTGCGAGGCCCGGCCAGCTCTGCTTCCACCGCCAGCACCTCCCGCGAGGCGGCGGCGAAAGCCTGGGTCACCTCGTGCACTGTGCTCCGGTAGCGCGCGAAGTCGTAGTCCGGGCTGCTGCGCAGGTACTGGCGGTGGCCTCTGCGGCAGGTGAGGACCCTGAGGCCGCGCCCCAGGCTCTCAGGCCCTGCACCCACGCTAACCTCCTGAAAGGCCCCCAGGGGGCGTCCCCGGACCCCAGCGGGGAGAACTGGCAGAGAAGACGCTTCCTGACTCCCGCAAGGGAAGCCGAGACAGGCCCACCCCTGCTCTTGGGGAGGAGAGAAGCCACGAGGAGTGGGTCGTCGGGCAGTGGGAACGTGCTGTGGGGCCTTTCTTGTGAAGGTGAGGACCCGGTGCCCCTAAATCCCTGCCCCATCTGACTAGGCAGCCGCGCGAGGATCCAGCTCCTCCTCCAGACACGGCCGAGACCATGTCCACGCCCGGAGCGGGCCGGGGACTGAACCCTGCGCCCCCAGCGCCCGCACTCACTCCTCCAGTCGGCGGAAGCCCTGCGCGCGCTCAGCCTGCAGCTGGTGGATGCGCTGCACCAGCGTCTGGATCGGGGCGTCTTTCTGCGGGGAGGGGGGCACGGCTGGGGCATGAAGCCGGCGCCCCTAGGTCTGCGCCGCCCGCCCCTCGCCCGTTCCCGCTTGGGCCTGGGCTCACCCAGGGCCACGCCGGCTCCTCGCGTCCCGCAGCTTCGGTGGCCGCCTCAGCAGTAGGCACCGCAAGGACCGTGAGCTCCGCCGCCTCATCGGTGATCATGACTGCGCAGCCCTGACCAGGCTCCGGAGCAGGCCCTTCCGCTGCACCCGACGCCCCCTACAGGCCGGGAGGTCCACGGATCGCCACCCTGCGGCCGGCCAACCCCGAGATCCCGGGGAAGAAAGGGGAGCCAAGACCGCGGGCCGCCCAAGCAAGCCCTGCATCCTTCACCCACCGTTCTTGTTCCTGTCCAGCACCCGCCTGATCCTGTTTTTCCTTGAATGTGCAGTTCTGAATACAGCACAGCTGTTAGCCTTGAGTTCTTTTCTATGTATGTATCTCAACACCTACTTCCACGTGAAAGAAGTATTGAGCATGGGTTTTGACGTTCAAAAGCGTGAAGTAGGGCCAGGCACGGTGGCTCACGCCTGTAATCCCAGCACTGAGAGGCCTGGGCAGGTAGATCTCCAGAGGTCGGGAGTTTGAGACCAGCCTGGCCAACATGGCAAAACCCCATCTCTACTAAAAATACAAAAATTAGCTGGGCATCACAACAGACGTCTGTAATCCCAGCTACTTGGAAGGCTGAGGCAGAAGAATCACTTGAACCCGGGAGGCAGAGGTTGCAGTGAGCTGAAATCACGCCACTGCACTCCAGCCTGGGTGACAGAGCTGACTCCATCTCAAAAAAAGAAAAAAGATTGTGAAGCAAGCCTGGCAACCTAAGCAGGCCCGATCTCTACCTAAGCTTAGCCCGGCGTGGTGGCTCCCGCCTATAGTCCCAGCTACTCTAGAGGCTGAGGTGGGAGGATTGCTTGAGCCCAGGGAGTGGGAGGCTGCCACGAGCGATGACTGTGCCACTGCACTCCAGCCGCAGCCACAGTGAGACTGCCTCAGAGTGCCGTGGCTGAACTCCACTGACAGTAACAGATTCATTGGTTCTTCAGAAAATCACAGGAGTGAAGACAAGATTCAGTGATGGGGACCTTGTCAATGGCCCAGAGTTGAATTGGGTGTCTTGTAGAATAGCTCTGAGCCTGGGGCACAGGAGGGGCCAGCATGACCTCAAGTATAAACAAGGCCTTAGAGCTTTCTGCTGGAAGGACACAAGGCCTACATTGAACTTTGGAAAGCTTCCCCAGGGAGAGAAGGAAGATGGTGGTAGGATGACCTAGTGAAGAGGGACCAGCTCAGGTACTGGTGACAGTCACCAGCCTGTAAGGGGAAGGGACTAGGCTATCAGGATACACCACTGGCCATGCACTGGCTCACCGACACTGAACCTTCATCATAACTAAACAGGGGCCCAGTACGGCGACTCACCCTTATAATCCCAGCACTTTGGGAGGCTGAGGCAGGACACCACTTGAGAGCCCAGTCCAAAACCATCCTCCTGGGGAACATAGCAAGATACTGCCTCTTTAAAACAAAATAAAAAAAAAAAAGGGGTAGTAAGGCCAAGCACAGTGGCTTACACCTGTAATCTCAACACTTTGGAAGCCCAAGGCAGGTGGATCACCTGAGGTCAGGAGTTCAAGACCAGCCTGGCCAACACAGTGAGACCCCATTTCTATAAAAGAATTTGAGGGCCAGCATTGTATGTCATTGGGTGTACTGTCTCCCCACACCTTGACTCTTGAGGGCCTAGGCCTGAAGCACATCTCAAAGTGCCTGGGATCTGGCCGGGCACAGTGGTTCACGCCTATAATCCCAGCACTTTGGGAGGCCGAGGCGGGTGGATCATGAGGTCAAGAGACCATCCTGGTCAACAAGGTGAAACCCCGTCTCCACTAAAAACACAAAAATTAACTGGGCATGGTGGCACGTGCCTGTAGTCCCAGCTACTCAGGAGGCTGAGGCAGAATTGCTTGAACCCAGTAAGCGGAGGTTGCGGTGAGCCGAGATGGCACCATTGCACTCCAGCCTAAGTACCAAGAGCGAAACTCCGTCTCAAAAATAAAAATAAATAAAACTGGGATCTGTCAGTAAAAACCTCACTCCCACCAATCACAGGACTGAGGTTTTTACTCCAACTTTACAGATGACAAATCCAGAGTCAGGGGCATAGGGCAGGGACCACTGCCAGTGTGACAGAATCTAGGACAGAGGACCCATGGGTGGCACAGAATGGAGTGCTGATTAGAGTCCCTAAGGGAGATGCCCACTCTCCAGCCACCTCCCTGGACAGACCAGCCATGAGGACACCAGTTGCTGCTCCAGTCAACCAAAGGGACACTTTATTGAGGCTCCAGGGCCATGGGGCTTGGGCAGGAGGCTGCCCTTCCAGGAAGGAAGCGGCTTATTTGACCTTCTTCTTGGGGCGCAGGTTGTTGGTGTGGCCACATTTCTTCTTGCGGCAGTTGACAGCACGAGGGTGCAGGCGAGCATAGCACCTGCGAAGGAACAGGAGTGGCAGGTGAGGGCAAAGTGACCCAGCAGCCCTCCCAGCCCCCAGGCACTAAAGTAGACATACTTGCGGCAGATCATCTTGTCGCAGTTGTATTTCTGGGCAAGCTGGCGGAGGGAAGGCTCAATAATGCCACCTCGCAGGCGCAGCACCAGGTGCAGGGTGGACTCTGTAGGAGATAGCCAGAGGGACAGCGACTGCCCGACTGAGCCCAGCCTTAGCTCCTCAGTCACAGGGCAGGCCTCTAGAGCCCTACTATAGTCTGGGGCTTTCTCAAGTGTGATGGGGACAACAAGTCGTGGTCCCCAGAGTGTTCTACATGTGGAAGATACACCGTCCCAGTCAGGCCTGCCCCACAGAACCTCCATCCCAGCACTGACCACAAGCCCTGGGGGAGTCTGAGACTGAAACATGTATGACAACTGAGTCGTCCATCTGGGTTTTCCATCATGGAAGCCAATCTCTAAGTGATGCCGGTAAGGTAAAACACTGACGTCCAAGCCAGGTACAGTGGCTCACACCTGTCATCCCAGCACTTCTGGAGACTGAGGCAGGCAGATCATGAGGTCAGGAGTTTGAGACCAGCCTGGCCAACATGGTGAAACCAAATCTCTACTAAAAATACAAAAAAAAATTAACCAGGCATGGGGTCAGGCTCCTGTAGTACCAGCTACTTGGGAGGCTGAGAGGAGAATCACTTGAACCCAGGAGGCAGAGGTTGCAGTGAACTGAGATCACGCCACTGCACTCCAGCTTGGGCAAGAGTGAGACTGCCTCAAAAAAAAAAAAAAAAAAAGACACTTTTGGGAGACTGAAGCAGGTGGCTCACAAGGTCAGGAGTTCAAGTCCAAACTGGTCAAGATGGTGAAACCATCTCTGTAAGTGACACTAATTTCTTTTTTTTTTTTTGAGACGGGGTTTCACTCGTTACCCAGGCTGGAGTGCAATGGCACGATCTCAGCTGACCGCAACCTCCACCTCCTGGGTTCAGGCAATTCTCCTGCCTCAGTCCCGAGTAGCTGGGACTACAAGTGCGCACCACCATGCCCAGCTAATTTTTTATATTTTTAGTAGAGACGGGGTTTCACCATGTTGACCAGGATGGTCTCGATCTCTTGACCTCGTGATCCACCCGCCTCGGCCTCCCAAAGTGCTGGGATTATAGGCGTGAGCCACCGCGCCCAGCCTGACACTAATTTCTTTATTGCAGTGATATGATTTTTCACTCTTATTTTTTTTGGAGACGGAGTCACTCTGTGATTCAGACTGGAATGCAGTTGCATGACCTCTGCTCACTGCCGCCTCTGCCTACCGGGTTCAAGTAATTCTCAGGCCTCTGCCTCCCAAGTAGCTGGGATTACAGGAGCACGCCACCATGCCCAACTAATTTTTGATTTTTTTTAAATGGATCTCACTCTATCACCAGGCTGGAGTGCAGTGGTGCAATCTCAGCTCACTGCAACCTCGGTCTCCTGGGTTCAAACAATTCTCCTGCCTCAGCCCCTGGAGTAACTGGGATTAGAGGCAAATGCCACCATGCCCGGCTAATTTCTATACTTTTCACCACGTTGGCCAGGATGGTCTTGATCTCTTGACCTCATGATCCATCCATCTCCACCTCCCAAAGTGCTGGGATTACAGATGTGAGCCACCACGCCCGGACAAGTTTTGTTTTTTTAATAGAGACAGTGTTTCACCATTTTGGCCAGGCTTTTCTTAAAATCCTGACCTCAGGTGATCCACCCATCTCACCCTCCCAAAGTGCTGGGATCACATGCGTGAGTCACTGCATTCAGCCCCATTGTTTTAAACAAAACATAAGTCATTTGAACTGCTTCCCCAGCCCCTGACTGAGGCCATCAATGCTCCTTTCCTAGGACCTGAGGATCTCGGGTCCCTGCTCAGCAACCCCAACCCTGGTACCTTTCTGGATGTTGTAGTCTGAGAGCGTGCGGCCATCCTCTAGCTGTTTGCCGGCAAATATCAGACGCTGCTGGTCAGGTGGGATACCTGAAAGGGAGAGAGGCTCAGTTAGAGGCTCTGTGGAGCACATTACTGGTAGTGTCCCCATGCAGGAGAGCTCCAGCACTACCCCCAGTGTCTCAAAACACAAGCTGAGGTAGAGATAACATTCTTCAGATCACATGGAGAAGCAACGCAAAACTGAAGTCTGTCTAAAGCCAGCACCAACCCACACAGAAGGGACTCCCCTGAGCAGAGAGGGACTGCCAGTCCATAGCCAGAGCCCCCACACCCAGTCCCACTCACCCTCCTTGTCTTGAATTTTGGCTTTGACATTCTCAATGGTGTCACTGGGCTCGACCTCAAGGGTGATGGTCTTGCCTGTGAGGGTCTTCACAAAGATCTGCATCTCTGCGTCTGCTGAAGGGAGGCAGGATAGATGGATGAGCAATGCATGTGTGGGGGATGCAAGCTCAGGTACCTACACCTCAGTTGCTATCCCTGTGCCTGCACTGACCACAACTGCTCCTGCCCCAGTACCTGTCTTCCTTCCACTCCTCCAAGCCTGTCCTATTAGGCTTCCCACACACCCTGGCCTGCAGCCTAAACATGTCCTGGAACTAAAGGCCACAAGTCCTCCACCCTACTGACTGCTTCGGTGCTCTCCAGGAACAGACTGGTTATTCTCCTTAGGCTCAGCAGGGGAAGGATCTCTGGAGTAAGTTCCCTTTGGCACCATCAGATACAACTTCCCTGAGCCCAGTCCCGTCCTCTCCAACACTGCAAGGTCCTGGTCTCCTTCACTGAGGGCTCCTGCTGCCATCCTGGATGGGAAGCCATCCTCTACAACACACATGCCTTCCGGTCGCAGCCCCCTCCCCTCTAACTGCAAGCTGTGGCAGCCAACACTGTTTCTTCTCCAGACTCCACTTCTTGCTTTTACTCCAGACCACAGTCAGCACTTTTATCTACCAACCACGTGCCAACCACTGTTTACATATCAAAGTTGACTTTTTTTTGAGGCGGTTCTCGTTGCCCAGGCTATCTCAGCTCACCGCAACCGCTGCCTCCCGGGTTCCAGCGATTCTCCTGCCTCAGCCTCCCGAGGAGCTGGGATTACAGGCATGCGCCACCACGCCCAACTACTTTTATATTTTTAGTAGTGACGGTGTTTCACCATGTTAGTCAAGCTGGTCTCGAACTCCCAACCTCAGGTGATCCACCTGCCTCGCCCTCCCAAAGTGCTGGGATTACAGGCATGAGCCACCGCACCCGGCCCAAAAGTTCACTTTAAAAAAATAACCTGCCAGGCGTAGTGACTTACACCTATAATCCCAGCACTTTGGGAGGCCAAGGCAGACGGATCATTTGAATTCAGGAATTCAAGACCAGCCTGGCCACCATGGTGAAACCCAGTATCTACTAAAAACACAAAAGAACAGCTGGGTGTGGTGGCGGGCGCCTGTAATCCCAGCTACTTGGGAGGCTGAGGCAGGAGAATCGCTTGAGCCCGGGAGGTGGAGGCTGCAGTGAGCCGAGATCACACCACTGCACTCCAACCTGGGGGACAGAGCGAGCTCCACCTGAAAAAATAGAAAGAGTCTAAAAGGCGCTACCACCGGCTCCTCCTTACAGACGTCGCAAGGGAGCCGGCTATGAAAACTCGGCTAGAGAAATTTAGTACTTCTAAAGGGATTGACGCAGGGACTGGAAGAGTTAACGCTACAAGCTCAATAACCCCCCCTCATTAGCACGGACCGGTCCCGAGGGCCGGTTCCCGCCCGAGGCTTCGTGGGGTCACTCAGGCAGGCAGAGCAAGCAGGCTCCTCTCCAGAGCGGCGCTCGCCTCCTGGGCCCCGGCCTGGTCTCGGAGCCGCGGCCTCGAGCGCCATGCCCGGCCACCCCGCCGAGACTGGCCTGCATGAGCCGGCTCAAGGCCGCCTCTTCTGCCGCCCAGGCCTCTGCGGCCTCCTGCAGCCCCACCACCCGACCTCCGCCCGGCGCGAACCCACAGGACCACCACCACCACCAACCAACTCAGTCGCCTCGCTGAAGAAAAAGAGGACGGCGGAACCGGAAGCCGGCTAATCGCCGCCGAAAGCGCTTGCGCGCGGAGCACGCCGGACGTTACGTCACAATCCGCGCCGCGCTTCGGGTCCCGCCCTGTCGCCATCTTGGATGCTGGGAAACGAAGCCGCAGCACACGTGGGTGAGCGTCTCCCACACGCTTTTGGGTGTTGGCCCCGCCCGCCGAGTCACGTGAGGAGACTAGCGCACCTCTCCAGGTGTTTGTGCCCGCTGCCTCTGAGCCACTGACAAACGGGGGCGGTTGGCAGGCCCTCAGCGACTACTTGAACGGAGTAAAGAATGTTTTCTGCTAAAGCAAAGGCATTAGGCAGAGGGCTGCGGGTCCAGGACGCAGGAGTTGGGGCTGGGAAGGGACCTAACACCCGGAATCGGTTATTAGAAAGCTCTCGGCCACTGTGTACGATGGATTTCAGGACAGCAGCAGGGAGAGCAGACGGGACAACCGCATTCGCCAGGAAAGGTGGTGGTGCCTGGCAAAATGTGCCAGGTGGGACTGAGGGTCTCTTGTTTCCATCTAGGATCCAGGTTTGTCGGCGGTTAAAAAGTGCCGGGGCGGCCTGGGTGCGATGGCTCACGCCTGTAATCCCAACACTTTCGGAAGCCGAGGCGGGTGGATCACCTGTCAGAAGTCCGAGACCAGCCTGGCCAATATGGTGAAACCTCGTCTCTACTAAAAACACAAAAATTAGCTGGGTGTGGTGGCGTGCACCTGTGGTTCCCAGCTACTGGGGAGGCTGAGGCAAGAGAATAGCTTGAACCCAGGAGGCATTGGTTCCATTGAGCTGAGATCGCACCACTGCACTCCAGCCTGGGCGATAGAGTGAGACTCCGTCTCAAAAAAAAAAGTGCCAGGGCAAGTTCAGTGGTTCACACTTGTAATCCCAGCATTTTGGGAGGTCAAGGAGGGAAGATTACTTGAGGCCAGGAATTCAAGACCAGCCTGGAAAATGTAGCAAGATGCTGTCTCTACAAAAAAACAAAAACCACCGTTTTTAAAATTTATCCAGGTGTGGTGGCGCACACCTGTAGTCCCAGCTACTTGGGAGGCAGGAGGAATGCCTGAACACAGGGGTTTGAGGTTGCAGTGAGCCATGATCCGGCCACTGCAATCCAGCCTGGGTAACAGAGAGAGATGCTGTCTCAAAAAACAAGAGAAGGCTGAGCACAGAGAAGATGGGAGAGTAAAGAGTAAGAAGTTACCTGTAGGCTTGGCAGGGGTACCTGTTCATTTCCTTGAATGTTTGCAGGTACTACCACAACAGGCAAAAGTATACCCTCCAATGTCTGAGAAGATGACTTCATGAACATTTTTTTTTTTTTCCTGAGACAGAGTTTCACTCTTATTGCCCAGGCTGTAGTGCAATGATGCGATCTCAGCTCACTGCAACCTCTGCCTTCCGGGTTCAAGTGATTCTCCTGCCTCAGCCTCTGGATTACAGGTGTGCACCACCACACCCAGCTAATTTTTGTATTTTTAGTAGAGTCGGGGTTTCACCATGTTGGGCAGGCTGGTCTCGAACTCCTGACCTCAGATGATCCGCCTGCCTTAGCCTCTCAATGTGCTGGAATTACAGGCATGCAACACCACGCCCAGCTGAAACAACTTCATTTCTAAGTACTCAGAAGATCAGGTAACCCTGGGAGTGTGTCTGACGGGGAATGGGATCCTGTGTGGCTTCCTGATCGGGAGGAGTGCTGAGATCTGGAGGAGGAATTATGAAAGGAGAGTGGTAACAGTCGTACCGTCAGCACTGAGGGCCGCATGCAGGAAGACGTAGCTGGTGACAGGAACTTAGGCTGTGACAGCTCACACCAGGGGGGTTCCAAGAAAGGGCCAGGTCTCTTTCTAGCTCCGTGGTAACTGACTGCACCTCCCTCCAGCAGGGCCCCCAGCCCACCTTCTGGATTGCTTGGCCTAAGGATGGAGGAAGCCACTGCTAGGGGTCCTTTTTCCTTTTTAGTAATGGTGTCTTTTTATTGATAACTTCCCAACAGCATCTGTAAACATCGGGTACAAAAATATCCCATTAAATTCTTTCCCGAGTGGCTCCATTTGCTCCGTGGAGGCCCTCAGAGAGGCCTGCTGGGCCCTCAGGTTCCACACCTCTGTTCTGAGACACAGGCCACAGCATGCTCAGGGCTGAATGGATGGCCCGCCAGCCTTCGTCTTGAGCCTTCGACCTATCTCAGAAACCTCTTTACAATACCGAGGAGAAAGTATTTGATACTTTTACAGAGGAAGGGGCAGGAAAAGCAGAATTAGTGGGTGCAGGGGTGAGCGGGATGAACTCACACGAGACCATGCTTGTGCGCCTCAAGGAAGTCCCGACTAGGGGTGGGGGACATCTGGCTCTGGTCTCTGGGAACCTTTTTAAGCATTATTCAGAGCAGCTCAGCTCTGGAAAAATTCCCATGCCCAGCCCCACAACTCCTGCTGTGCCCTGGCATGGCAGAGGGGTCTTGCAGAGGAGATGTGTTCTGAGGAAGGAAGGAGCCAGAATGAAAGACCCCCCTCAGTAATCCACACCCTTTGAGAGAGCCCTGTCCCCCTAGGAGCCCTGGGTGACAGAATGGGGCAGCAAAGGCACCCTGGATGACAGAACAAGGCAGGGTCACCTGCTGCCACCTTGTATGCTGCTGCCCTGAGACCCTCAAGGCACCAAGCAGCAGGGCTACTCGCCCATCTCCTCATCATCTGTCTGGCTGCGCCCATTGATGGCTGGGGAGCCAGGCCGGACATGGGATAGGTCTTCAAAGCCGGGGCTCAGGGAAGGTGAGACGGTGTCAGGGCTGGTGTCACAGGAGTCCGTGCTCTGCTCTGAGGTGGCGATGGTGGTCGTGGTGCTGGGTGGGATGGGGTCTTCATCCTCATCCTCCAGGAAGGATGCCTCCGGGATGTCTGGGGAAAGGAGGCCCAAGAGTTGGTTTTGTCACCTTGCCAAGCACTGTGACGTAGGACTTACTGTCCGTGTGACCCCTGATGGCTCCCCCACCCCATGGGGTATGACTTGGCCCATTTTTTCGGTGGGGGGGAGGATGCAGTTTTGCTCTTGTTGCCCAGGCTGGAGTGCTGTGGTGCCATCTCAGCTTACCGCAACCTCCACCTCCCAGGTTCAATCAATTCTCCTGCCTCAGCCTCCCGAGTAGCTGGGATTACAGGTGTGCCCCACCATGCCTCGCTAATTTTGTATTTTTAATAGAGACAAAGATTCCCCATGTCGGTCAGTCTGGTCTCAAACTCCCAACCTCAGGTGATCCCCCTGTCTTGGCCTCTCAAAGTGATGGGATTACAGGTGTGACCCACCGTGCCCTGCCAACTTAGCCCATTTTACAGAGGAGGGAACTGAGGCTGAGGCAGGAAAGAGCCTTCAAGGTGAGGTGAGGAGGGGACACAGGCTCTGGGGATGGGCCTATAGGAGCCCTGAGGGCGAGCCTGGCTCACTGTGCTACCTGGGCCAGGACCTGACCTCCCCTCAGCCCGGCTCCCTGCTCTATAAACTGCTGCTGGAGACCCTGGGATGGAGAGCTGTCGGCCTTTTCAACAGATGGGTAAACCAGGGCTCAACCTGCAGAGCCCTTTAAGTTTCCCTCTCCATGAAATGGGGATACTCACAGCCCCTACCTCATGGCAGGCTGATAGGGGCTCAGAGTGCCCACAGGGACAAGGATTGTCATGCTGCTTAACCACAGTCCCCGGTGCGGCTTCCCCACAGGGCATAGACCCCAGTCCTAGCACCCACTCTGCAAGCTGCCGAAAGGACCAGGCCAGCATCCCTACCCCTGCCGTCACCCCCGCCCCAGGTCTCCCCAGGCTCACTGCTCATTATAGCCTAGTCTCAGTATCAGCCCCCAAGGTGGCCTTCCAGAAGCTCCCACTGGGCGGAGGGCACGACATGCTCACGTGCAGGAGCCCTGGCAACACTTACGGCTGAAGGCCTCTGGGTGCTGCCGGGCCAGTTTTCCTTTCAGTGTCCTGCAGGGGAGAGAAGGCACACGGGCTTAACCTGCTGAGCAGGCAGGCTGGGCCTGGCGCCAGCCAAGAGCCCTGCTGCCAGCTGAGGGCAAGGGGAGTTGGGAGTGAGAACCCCCACACTGTTAATCACCTCACATCTTCACTCTCTCTAGGTGCTCGGCCCAGCAGCCATGGCCCTGGCAGTCACCTACCAGCCGGCCTCCAGCCCCAGCTTAGGCCCCAACCCCCAACAAGTTAGAGTCTGGATGCTCTGAGCATAGGCACTGGCTGGGGGTGCCCTGCAAGGCCTCTTCTTATGTGTGGCCTCTGCTACTCAGATAGCTTTTTTTTTTTTTTTTGAGCTGGAGACCCCCTCTGTTGCCCAGGCTGGAGTGCAATTGAGCAATCTCAGCTCCCTGAAACCTCCGCCTCCCAGGTCCAAGGAATTCTCCTGCCTCAGCCTCCCAAGTAGCTGGGATTATAGGTGTGCGCCACCCTGCCCAGCTAATGTTTGTATTTTTAGTAGAGACAGGGTTTCACTATGTTGGTCAGGCTGGTCTCAAACTCCTGACCTCACGATCACCCACCTTGGCCTCCCAAAGTGCTGGGATTACAGGCGTGAGCCACTGCGCCGAGCCATTCCTGCCTTTTCATTATGTGTCTAGCACTATGTTACATTTTTGAAAACTAAACAGCCGGGTGCGGTGGCTCAAGCCTGTAATCCCAGCACTTTGGGAGGCCGAGGTGGGTGGATCACGAGGTCAAGAGATGGAGACCATCCTGGTCAACATGGTGAAACCCCGTCTCTACTAAAAATACAAAAAATTAGCTGGGCATGGTGGTGCGTGCCTGTAATCCCAGCTACTCAGGAGGCTGAGGCAGGAGAATTGCCTGAATCCAGGAGGCGGAGGTTGCGGTGAGCCGAGATCACCATTGCACTCCAGCCTGGGTAACAAGAGTGAAACTCCGTCTCTCAAAAAAAAAAAAAAAAAAAAAAAAGAAA